TACATAACTGAGTAAGAATATATATATATATAACTGAATAATATATATAACTGAATATATATATAACTGAATAAGAATATATATGTAACTAAAAATGTATATACAACTGAATAAGAATATATATAACTGAATAAGAATATATATATATATAACTGAATCACTTTGCTGTACACCAGAAACTATCACAACACTGTAAATCAATTAGACTTTAATTTAAAAAAAACCTGTCATCTTGATTATGCTAGGGCTCACTGAATCTAACAGATATATTGCAAGAGTCCGTCACACAGCTTTAACCAAAAGAAGGCTCATGATTTCCTATTACTGCAATCAGAAAAACCCTGTTGACCTAATGACCTGGATGGGAACAAAAGGTGCAAAATCTTTAAAGTGTCCGACTCTACTTATTGAATCACTCACCACAAGCAAGTTTCTAAGACTGAGTGCCACTGAATAATCAGTGGTTAGAAGGGAAAAGGAGCTATTCTTCCAGGCAATAGATACTGCCAGTAATATTGCCAATAAACTCCTCAATCACAGAGGAACAGACGGATAAAAGTCAGGCTAACATGGCTGGAAAGCAGAGCACTGAAAGCAGCAGCATCTATCAAACCCCTGCTCTTCCAGAGATGTCTTATTTTTGAGATCTGTGAATTTACATGTATTACACGAATCCATTCAATAGTCCTTAACCAAGGGTTGTATCAGAATCTCAGGAAGTATTTCTAAATACCTGAATAAATGTACTCAGGTGTAGACACAATCAAAATCTTCAAGGGAGAACCAGGAGAAAAAGCAGGAGGACCAGCTTCGCCATCACTTGCTCCCCACCTACAGCCACAGCCCCGCAGGGGAGCTACACCAGGCTGAGCATGGAAGACCCCAAGGTGAAGGTCTACGTGGAGGGCCATGTGGCCACCAGCACAAGTGAATGCCCCTGCTGGCTGGCTGTCGAACATGACCTGACCTCACTTGCCCAGATTCTAGAACCTGGGATCCTGGGGTGCTCAGGGCCTGTGGCTTGCTGCCTCCCCTGCCCAGGTGCAGTCACCCAGCTCCCCCTGCTGGGTACTGGGTTCCTTCCTCCTCCCACCTTCTCCAGGCAGGCAGCCAGCCCCTGCCATCACTTCACTCCCCGCAAGCCTTCATCTTCTGTAGGCTCTGAGCCTACCACCCACTCCCAGGCACTTCCTAATGGGACGTTGTTCCTTCTGGGGTAGAATTGCGGCTGGGAGACAGAGCTCTGCCCTTTCTGTGGGCACTACCTCTAGCCTCTGGCCTTGGCTTTGGAGTTGTTTCCATGATAACAAGGCCTGATGTATTGTATTCAGTACACATATTACTATAAATAAAACACCCATAGCTAGAAAAGACCCTGTATTTCAAATATCTTGTAAATAAAGTCAGTTGAGCTATACCTTGTTCATCGCCTCGCTATCTGCCTTATAGCGGAGCAGCTCTGCTGCAATTGATGTATCTTCAGCCAAGACGGCGTAATGCAGAGCAGTGCTTTGACTATCGTCCACAAGATTTGGGTCAGCACCGTGTTCCAGCAGGACAGTGACACATACTTCTTTCTGGCATTGTACAGCCTGTTGGTATCATGCCAAGAAACAGACTATAAGTGCTAGGCATTCCAAGTTAACATTCCTCAAGTTCCAACAGTTCGTTACATTTAAAACAAATTCATTTTTATTCTAAGTAATTAAATCAAATCAATCTCACGTGGACACGGTTGGCTGCTACACACCTTGATGAGAGCTGTCTTGCCTTCCTCATCACGAGCATTCAGATCACACTTCCACTGGATAAGGAGAGCCACCACTGATGACTGGCCTCTGGTGCAGGCTAAGTGTAGGGCAGTCCTGTGAACATAAGAGGACTGTTTAGGAAATCAGAGCTTACTAGTTCAAAGACACAGTTACGTAATTGTCAACATTCAACAGCATGCTATTCCTACCCCTTTAAAACTAACATTTAGTTTTCTTATTTTAGTTCCTTTTATGGGGAAAGAACAATATTTATTAGCTCTTATTACTCACCACATTAATGGAAGAACTACCTGTTTGAATAGAAAGGGCATGCCATTGAGATTCAGCTCAACTTGGGTCTGACTTCTACTTTAACACTGTCCCTTATTAGCTCTCACTTAGCCTGACTGTGCCTCAATTTCCTCATCAACAAAACGGGCATGAAGTAGTAGTTATCTTATAGGATGCCACTGTGATGCTTAAATGAAAAGCTATGCAAGGTGTCTGGCAGTTCCTTGCACAAACTAACAGCTCAATAGTTGTTAGGTAATACTATAATTGTTACTGTTACTATCTTACAAAGACAACATTTCAATTAAGTAAAATGATAGTGTATCTACTTTGTTGCTGCAAGGATGAGAGAGAACACTGTACTTCAATGATTCTAACATGCTCATTGTCTCACACTTCAACATCTCTGACATGGGAAGGCAGTTTAAAATTCATGTCTTACAGCCATAGTTGGCAGCTCCTCCCAGGCCCGCCACGCCCCGCTGCTGTTACCTGTTCTTCCTGTCTCTGCTGTCTACGACATTTTTCTTACAAGACAGCAACTCCTCCACTGTACAACTGGCACCTAAATATGCGGCTCTGTGGAACTCCTTTAGCTCACTCTTATGGACGTGATACCCAGGCACGGGCTTCTCACAAACCCTGCGCGCTCTCTGACGGGCGCTGAAGCCCACCCAGCTCACGAACTTAGCAAGTCTCTTCTTCATCTGGCTTATCGCCTTCCGACACCGCTCACTTCCCTCCTGGCCTCTTGCCGCCTCTCGATCTCAGCGCTGGCGCTACAGAAGAGCCACAGAGGTCTCGCTGCCACACCTTGGCTGCAAAGCTCAACGGCTCGGAATGTTTGGTCCGGAACACTCGTAGCCTAGCAACAGCACTGACCCACAACTGTCCCTCAACTGTCCCTCCAGAGCCAGTGTCCCTGTGAGTGCGCACAGAGGCCTGGAGGCCCAGCGTGCCCGGTGCGCACGTGGGAGCCTAAGGCATTTCAAATCTCTGCAATTGCTTGTGGGCCATTTTGGATTCCTTTCAAATGTTGGTGCTAGGTGGCTGAGTGTTTTGAGGGATTTCCAGAAGTGAGACTTTCCCCTGAGAAAGCCATGTTTGTATGCAACTGCGGTTAGAGTGGGGTGGAACCACAGGATGCTGAAGGCCTAGTCCCTCTGAGAGCTCCCCACCAAAAATCTCTAAATCTCCTTATCCCTCAGTTCATTCCTTTCCACATCCCTCTGGGCCCCAGCCAGTCTCCATGGAATTTAGCAGATGCAAACAGCAGAAAGCTGTTTTCATGGTTTCAGAGACTGTGACAATATGTATCATTAAGTACAAACTTGAGAAACCAACACGCGCTCTCCAGATTAAATGAAAACGTGTTTCCGCATGTCTGCTGACCCTGCTCTGTGGCTCAGCCTTATGTTTACACGCTTTCACTTTATTTTATTTTTTGCTTTTATTTCCACCAAGTAAATCCTTAATCAAAGATTTATTTGGGAGCATGGTATAACATCTGAGAACCTTTTAATCACGTAAGTATGAAAACACCACGTCAGTTACTCAGCGAGGCCACGCTGCTGGCTGACCACTTGCAGGAGGAGGGGAAGGCAGGGCAGGCCTCTTCTTCCTGCCTAACTCCATCCTTCCTCCCTCAGCTGGCTAATTACGGCTTCTGGCCCTGCCAGGATCAAAACTGCAGGGAGCGGCAGAGTTTCTAAGTGGCTGACACTCCTGGGAGCTGGTCTTGAGTGGACTCGACCTGGCAAGTGTTTTGAAGCTGACTCTCTCAGGAGCATTTCTGGGCCCACACCTGCCATCACCTGCAACTCCCCTGACCTAAGTAAATGTGGTGTTACTAATTTACCCTTTTAATCTATCTTTTCTATTAGCATACACTGTTACTTCCCTCGTCTTAAAAAAAAAGATGCGTTCACCCTCCAGCTGCGGCCCCATCTCTCTGCTCTCCGGCACACACGCCTCCTGCCCCTGCAAAGGAGCTGTTCCCATTCGCTTTCTCTGATTCCTCTCATTTTCCATCCAAGCAAGCGTGTCCACTGACTGCAATTGCTCATGACAGGGTCCCCCATCACTCACCAGGTGCTGACTCCATGGGCAGCTCTCAGCCCTCTCCTCGCACGGCCTGGCAGCCACACTTCCCACCGCTGCTCTCCCCGACTTCCTCAAGCCCTTTCCTCACGGGGCTTCCCGGCTTTCAGGCTGCTCTGGTTTCCTCCCATGGCCCTGGCCGGTCTTCTCAGTCCCAGCCCCTGAGTGCTGGCACACAGCACCCCTGAGGCTCAGTCTTCTGGCCTCTGCTACTGTCTGCTGCCGCTTTATATATTTATGTATTCTCTACAAGTTCACAACTTCCAAACTGCTGTTTCCAACCTAGACCTCCCTCCTGTATTTCAGACTCAAATACCCATTGCCTCTCAACATCATCTCTTTGAAGTTTAATAGGACTTCTCCTGGGCCTGCCCTCTCCTGTTCCTGCGCTCACCTGATCCTGCCCTCACCTGTGCCTCCCCTCTGCTGGGCCTGCCCTCTCCTGGACCTTCCCTCTAGCCAAGATGTGCACACTGGGGAAAAGGTAAAACCAGTACAGAAGGGCTGCTGCAAGCCCTCAGGCCTCAGTCACGTCCCAAACCAGAGACTGCCACCACACCCAGGAGAACCCCACTCCCAGAGATCCTGCTCCAGCCCCACAGGACCCCGTGCCACAACTGATAGGGCTGGAACAGTCACTGAGCAGAGGAGAAGCCCTTGCTTCAACCTGGAACTGGCTCCAGTCCCTCTGACTCCAGCCCTGCCACCCCCATTGCAGTGGCTGCCAGCACGTCCCGGGGAAAGAGGGCAGCCCAGGATCACTTCAGGTCCAGCTCTTCCCAACAAACCTGCTGGGCACAGAAAACTGCACAGGAATGCTCTCACACAAGGACACCTTTCATTCTGGGGCAGGTAACTGTTTCACCTAATTTCACAGAAATACAGAAAGTTAAAATGAGAAGACACAAGAACACATTTTAAATGAATGAATAACAAAATAACCATAGTGAAAAGAAATAAATACTTTATCTGACAAAGAGGTCAAAGCAATAGCAAGAAGAATGATAACTGAACTGGGAAAAAGAAGAGATGAGCACCAGAAAAATTGTCAAAAGAACTAGAAAATATAAAAAAGAACCAATCAGAGTATAACTGCAGGTAGTACAGAAGATTAGGCAATGCAGATGATCCATTAGCAATCCAGAAGACAGAATGAAAAACACCCAATCAAAAAATCAAGAAGAAAAGGCCTGCTACATGAGTTTGAAGCACTTCTGAGACAGCATCAAGCATATTAACACTCACATTACAGTCCCTGCAGGGAGAGAGGAAAAGGCTGAAAAACATTGGGTAAAATTAAGGCTGAAAACTTCCCTAATCTGAAGAAGGAAACGAGTATCAGGGCACAGGAATCAGAGAGTCTCAAACAGGATCAGCTGAGACAGACTCACATCAAGACATATCATCATTCAATAAGAAAAATTTAAAGACAATGATAGAATTCTGAAGGCAGCAAGAAAAAAGGAAAGTGTCACAGGAAAGGAAATCCCTCATGCTGTCTTTACTGCACATATTTTTTAAGTTTACATATATGCACTGTTCATTGTCTCTAAGAATGTTTAGAGCTTTAGCTTTTTAAACTTATGTAGTTATTAAAGGAATAAAATCAAACACAATAAAAATTCAAAAAGATACATGCATCCCACTATTAACAGCAACACTATTTACAATTGCCAAGACATGAAAGCATCCCAAGTGCACATCAACTGATGAATGGATAAAGGAGATGCACCATATGTAGGTAATGGAATACAGTTCACCCATAAGAGAAGGGTATTTTTCCATTTGTGGCCCTTCATTCACTTTTTTAAACTTCAAAACCCAGAATTTCAGAACTGGCATAAACATTTCCATTGCATCAAAACCAACAAAATACCTAGAAATAAACTTAACCAAGGAGGTTACATATATTCTGAAAATTGTAAAACACTGATGAAGGAAATTGAGGATGATACGAAGAAATGGAAAGATATCTTATGCTCTTTGGCTGGAAGCAACATTATCAAAATGGCCATCTACCCAAAAGAATCTACAGATCCAATGCAACCCCTGTCAACACTCATGGCACTTTTCACAGAACTAGAACAAACAATTCCAAAATTTATATGGAATAAAAGCCGCCTAACAGCCAAAGCAATCTTGTATACGTCTTTTTTTTTTTTCCTCCCCTGCTCTCTTCTTTTTTGTTGTCTTTTCTTGTGGTTTGATGACTAGAGAAGTTCCTTGAATATTTGCTGTAAAGCTGGTTTAGAAGTGCTGAATTCTTTTAGCTTTTGTCTATTTGTGAAGCTTTTGATTTCTGCATCAAGTCTGAACATGAGCCTTTCTGGATAGAGTATTCCTCACCGTACATTTTTTTCTTTTATCACTTTAAGTATGTCGTGCTGCTCCCTTTTGGTCTGTAGATTTTCTGCTGAGAAATCAGCTGATAACTTTATGTGAGTTGCCTTGTGTGTTGTTTTGTTGTTTTTCTTTTGCTGATTTTAACATTTTCTCCTTAATTTTTAATTTTTGTCAATTTGATGACTATGTGCCTTGGTGTGTTCCTCTCTGTGTTGATCCAGGACTTGGGTGACTGTTTCCTTTCCCAAGCTGGGAAAGTTTTTGGTTATTATCTCACCAAAATTTTTCTCAGGTCCTTTCTTCTCTTTCAGGGACCCCTATAATGTGAATATTAGTGTGCTCCATGTTGTTCCAGAGTTCTCTTAAACTGTCTTTATTCCTTTTCTTTCTTTTTTTTTTTTTCCTGCTCTGCAGTAGTGATTTCCACTAATCTGTCTTCTAGCTCACTGATCAGTTCTGCTTCATTTAGTCTATTCTTGGTTCCTTCTACTGTGTTAGATCATTAAAATCATTTCAGTGATTTTCTTCTTCAACTGTTTGGGTATTCTTTTTATTTTCCAACTTTTTGCTAAAAATTTTGCTCTGTGCATCTGTACTCCTCTGCAGTTCTCTAAACATCTTCACCATCATCACTTTAAAACTTTCTCAGATAAATTGCCTATATCCTCATCACTTATTTCTTCTTCTGGGATTTTATCTTGTGTCTTGGCCTGGGAGTTATTGTCTGCTGCCTCATTCTGTTTTTCTGTATGTATTTTTAGGTAGGTTAGTTACATTTCTTGAACTTGAAGAAGCAGCCCTCTGTGGTACATGTCCTATGTGTCCCAGCAGTATGCTCCTCTCTTGTCACCCAAGGGCCAAGGTCCAGCCAGTCTCAGTGTGGAATCTGGCTTCTGTATGGACTCCTTCCACAGTTTTTGGGATTGTTGTTTGCTTCTTTCTGGCATCTGCTCCCTGGTGGATGAGGCTGGACTAGAGGCTTATATTCAGGTTTCCAGGCTGGAGGAGCCAGGGCCTGCCCACTGCTGGGTGAAGCTTGGTCCTGGACCTCTGGTGCGTAGGGCCCTGTTTAGAAGCCTTTGTGGCTCAGGAAGCCTGCTGATGCGTAGGGCTGTGTTCCCACCCTGTATGTCGTTTGGCCTGAGGCTTTCCTACAGGCTGATTGATGGGTGGGGCTGGTCTTGGTTCTAACGATCCAATCAAGATGTCAGCCTCCAGGAAAGCTCATGTAGATGAACGCTCCCAGAATGTCTTCTACCAGCTTTTATGTCCCCTGGGTGAGCCACAGGTGCCCTCTATGTCCCCAGGAGACCTTCCAAAGTCAACAGGCAGGTCTGCCCCAAGTTCCTATGGAATCACTACCTCTGCTCTTGAACCTGACACACATGAGATTGTGTG